TAGAGCAAGGTGTGGCTTAAAGCAGGATAGGATAAAGAAGGATAAAAAGAAAATGTGCAGATACGTTTTAAGAACGCACAAATAGAGTTACTAGCCATGGTTGTAAAAAAGGTAATAGATACTTAATTTATTGTTAGTCAACATTTTCAATTTGTAAAAAATAGCTTTAATACGCACACTACTTTTTAACAATAAATTTTGTTTTTTCATTTTGTAAATTTATTTTATAAAATATAAAGTAAATATATAAATTTTGTTTTCATCTCAAATATTTTCAAACTAAAATAATACAGATCAATGTTAATATTAAAAAATTGTTATCTTTAATACGGAGATTAGTCTATAAAGGAATACATTGTACCTATAAAGTTTTTCTTCCTAAATTTCACCTCTTTTATAAAGAACTAATTTACTGGTCCAACGGCGTTGTTAGTACCACTTTTTACTGTATTTACAATCTTACTACTTTAATAATATAACGCTGCATTATCAACAACTCTATGGATAATAGCACAGCTGATTATTATTTGTACTTTCCTTGGGGATTACAACTGTCAATTTTACAGTTTGTTCTTTCTATAAAATATAACAAATCCAAAGACAACAAAAACTACGAAACGATTTTGACAGCATTATACACTTTTATAAAAACAAAATGCTGGTTGTTTTTGTAATTATTGCCACCATCCACTTAGTGTGGTATGAATAATACAGTATATTTTATATTTCTTTTTATGGTTTCTTTCTTATTTTGCTCTCTCTCGCTTTGAATGAAAATTTCGATAAAAAAACAGTGATGGGATATAAGACACAACCTTCTTGTACCGAATTATTTAAATTCAAGTACCTACAGTTCTTATAAGTAGATTCGCTCGAATCTTTAAATGATTTATTTATATTTATTATATTATATATTATATAAATTATTAGAAATTGTGATCGCTTTCGAATCCGTGAATTTTAAACTAAATTTAAATAAAATTTTACCTATCTAATATTAGTAAAGTTAATTTTAGTTTTAATTTTTAAATCAAAAAATGCCTCTCACATCTAAAATAGTAGATATTTTTGAAAATAGATAAGAATAAATGAAAGACGATTTAGAACGGCGCATTCTTTATAGGTAATTCAGTTCTAAAAAAATATATAGATCTATGTATGTATTTTATGTTAGGTACTAAATTGAAAATATTTTGGTACATTTTTAAATTGTACAAAAAAAAAAAAAGAACTTCGCCACTGCCGTCACTGTGCCCAACTAAGGTTTATTTTATCAATCAATTATATAGACTGCTTACTAGATGGATTCATTCGTCTCACATAATTTCACATAAATTGATGGGATTTTTTCGTTTTACGGCGAAACTTTTTAATTGAAAGTAAAAATCACTTGTTAATTTGTCTGACGTTACATATTTTTATTCTGTAGTGAAGTGGTTAAAAAATGTGATATAAAAGTTCGAAAAATAAGAGAAAATATTTACGCCAAGAAAAATATAATATTTATTACAAAACGTAACAAATGCTAATCAGAATAAAAAGCAAATAATAAAATATGGAAAATTTTAATCCAACTGTGAATGAGTGTGTGAGCGTGTGAAGTAACAAGAATGAAAAAAATTAAAAAAGTTTCAATTAATTATTAATATTTTCTTAAAAATAACAATAAAAAATTAATTTTATCTATTATTGTTGAATAGTTATTATTAAAAGGTATATATTTTAAAATTATTGTTTAAAGAATCATTATATACACATTTAATACACACATGTATATATACATATTTATGTAGTTCATACACACATAGATACAGTATTTGTACATGTGTGTATGTACACATTTTAATGAAAGAGAATGAAAAAAGCAAATAATCACACAATATAATACCGAAGGTTGGTTTATCGGTTATTTTACTTGTTCTTCTTTAATTCTTTCTGCGTCTTTTTGAGTAAAAATAAAAACAAATGAATTTAGATTAAAACCGGTATAAAAATTAAATATATTGCTTTCAAGTTGTACTTACCTATTTTTAATATTAGCATGAAATAGGAAAATATCGTTTTATTATGGTCTGTTCTCCATCCTTGTTCACCAAGAATTATATTTTTTTGTCTATACATTTTTGAAACAATTGGGCATAGTCTATTAAATAATTTGTATGCTCCATAGCATGCTTCATTTTACCAACAGATATCAAATAAACACTAAAAAATTAGAATTTGTTCTAAAACAACTGCATACCTAGTTCTAGAACGAGTGCAAACAGAACCACTGATTATTGAGTTATATTGTTCCCTCGACAATTGTTTTTTCACTCCAGAGCGATCCGAGTTTTCCCGAAACCCATAAAGCCTCTTGGAGTAATCAAACGATGGTTAGAATCACAGAGGTGATTGCTCAAAATGAGAAATTCTGAGATTAGTATGATGGTAAGAATTCTTAGTGGACACACGGGATTACGGGCTTAGCTATACAAAATTAGACGTGCGGATTCAGACGAATGTAGAGCATGTAGAGAGTACAGTGAAAATCTGGAGCACTTTGCAATTGTTATGCTTTCGCCGAAATTAGATCCAAATATCTAAGGAGGATATAAGGATATAACAGGAACACTGATTAGAAAATTCTTAGGAATTATGTCTAGGAAACTGAGTTTCTGAACATCGGGTGATAATAGATTTATTGAAATCTATGTATATAAGGTTTTTTAAGGCACAACAGGCCTGAAAGTGGATAGGTGTATTTTTCGGATTTGATGTAGATACATCATCCTGTCAAGCTAATCTTAAGTTTTTCTTAATTTCCATATTACAATACAATTGTCTTCTTTTTATAAAACATGCATTGTTTTGATAGCAAACAGTGACGTTTTCTGTTGTTGTTGTAACAGTTCGACTGTGGCCGATAGTTCTTTCCTGTAGAAAAAACTTTCGATTGATACAGCTGTCACTGGGTTGACAATCTGTGGCCGAGTATGACTCGGGTCGTTTCGGAGCGAAGATCAAATTATCGTGGGAACGGACGTTTTCTGTTGTTTTTTATGGCAAAACTGCGAAGTTTAAATTTTTACTCAAAATATTAAAATGGGATTACCATTAGATTGAATTTATTTTTATATTAATTAATCTGATTATTAATTGACATTTAATTGCCGACACAAAACCCGCTCTTAAGGCTATGTTTCCATGAAGTGTGAACGTTGAACAGCAGCCAGGATCTCATTCTTTGGATTTTATGTGTTCGGTTCATGTTAAAAGTATTGTCCTTAAAAATTCATAATTATTAATTCTAGAATATAACCCTATCAATAAAGCATATATTTTGGCCCTGGATGTTTTTGCCCTAAAATAAAAGAAGTATATTTTTTTAAATTTATAGTTTATGTTTATACCCTACACCACTTTAGTGGGGAGGGTATATTGGGTTTGTGCTGATGTTTGTAACGCACAATAATATTGGTCCTATACCCACCTTAAAGTATACCAATCGGCTCAGAATCATTTTCTGAGTCGATTTAGCTATGTCCGTCAGTCTGTCCGTCCGTCCGTCCGTCCGTCCGTCCGTCCGTCTGTCCGTCCGTCCGTCCGTCCATGTAAACCTTGTAATCAAACTACAGGTCGCAATTTTGAAGATAATTCAATGAAATTTGGTACATGATCTTCTATTGTCCTAGGGACGAAGCCTATTGAAAATGGTTAACATCGGTCCATTATTTCACCTTGCTCCCATACAACTGAACCCCTCGAATAGGGTTTTTAAAATTTGTAATCAAACTACAGGTCGCAATTTTGGAGATAATTCAATGAAATTTGGCACATGATCTTTTATGGTACCGTAGATGAAGCCTGTTGAAAATAGTTTACATCGGTCCATTATTTCACCTAGCCCCCATACAACTGAACCCCTCGAATAGGGCTTTTAAAACTTGTAATCAAACTACAGGTCGCAATTTTGGAGATAATTCAATGAAATTTGGCACATGATCTTTTATGGTACCGTAGATGAAGCCTGTTAAAAATGGCTTACATCGGTCCATTATTTCACCTAGCCCCCATACAACTGAACCCGCCGAATAGGGCTTTTAAGTTCATAATTATGTTTAATATACTCATATCTCGACAAAAAGCTGCAATAACCAAGTTGTATACAAGACTTGATGACCCCCACGAATTCCATAATAATAGGTTCTCATATGACCCTAGTCCCTATGAAAAGCCCCCATAAAAATTTCACTTAAATATCCACAATTTTATTCAACAATAAACGGCTTAAGTATGTATATCTAAGGCAAGGTACAATTCAACTTAAATGCTTTATTATGGCAACTAAATCACATTATATTTTTGTCAAAGGTGTAGGGTATTATATGGTCGGCCTCGCCCGACTATAATTTCTTACTTGTTTAGATTTATAAAAGATGTTTTAGATTATGGATTTCTCTAGCATTTTTCTGTTTCTGTTTTTTTAGCCTTAAATAGGCTAAAAATATTCACATATTTAGTTAATTTAAAAACATTTTACCAATTTTCGGCAAGGTTTCACGTTATCCGTTAATTTTAGATACAAATGAAAAATAAATCGATAGGCTTTTAGTAGCTTTACTGTCAATGTAACAGCAAAATTTCCCAAATTATGTACATGTAACATTAAATTTCATATAAATATTTTGGACAAAAATGGGGAACTAGCAATAGTGGGTGTGGCACTTCCCATATAAAATAAATACTAAAAGCTGTATTTCTGTACATGTAACTTTAGTTTAAATATGTATATTTTGGACACATAGGCTTCTCGCAAAAGTGATAGTATAGATAGTATAGTCCTCCCATATAAGGTAAATACTAAAATCTGCATATCTAGAACACCAGAACTGTTAGACTGCTCACATCTCGTACGAATGTCTTCAGGTTCAATATGAATGTTTAAAAAAACGGCAATCCAGCATTAGGGGGCATGGCACCTTCTTATCTAACATTTTTATAATTTTACTAAAATTCGTATATCTGGTAATCTATAACAGCTAGAAACCTTAAAAATAAAATTAATTTTACCGAAAAGAAAAAAAAAAAAATTAAAAAAATCGGAATGGAATGGAATTTTAGTATAATACAGTGTACTCGAAAAACGTGAACAAATTTTTACCATCGCAGTTTACGTTTTAGAGTTTGTTCACGTTAGCGAATGTTAAGATTTGGAAAAAAATAAATATTTTAGTAAAAGTTATTAAAGAAGTATCACAAAACAAATAACACCCTGTAACAATTTTGAAAAAAAGCGTTCATAAATAGAGAAGTTGATATGCATGTGAAACTAGCATACATTTATAGCCATTCTGCATACTCCGATTTTTATAATCAGCTCTTATGTCCTTATAGAAGGACTTCAAAGTTTAAATGGCTTACAATTTAAATCGAATATTTTAACTGCCTTATTCATTAACATTTATCGAAGGTTTATCGAGGAAATTTTATATGAAAATTTGATTTATAAACCTTTGATAAAAGTTTATGAATAAACCCTAAATATTTATATGTGTTGTATGATGCTAATATTTTTCTTTAAGCTTCCATTTCTTTTTTAATCCTGATGAATTGAAATAAATAATATTATTTTGAAGAAGAGGTTCTCAGCTTCATTTGATATTAATACCAACTTTTTATATAAATTTAGACTTCCATCTTTTGAAATCGTATGTCCTTTAAACTTTTTTACAGGGGCGTAAGAGCTGATTATGAAAAACTACGTCCACAGGGTTAATACTAATGGTCCACAGTTCCTGTACACATAGATTTTTTCATTTGCGAAAATGACTGTTGCACGGTGTAATAGATTAATTTTTAATAAAAAAAATAAATAATAAAATATGAATATACATATGTATATTCAGTTCACTTTTCATATGGGCAATGATGACCATATCATACGTGACAAAAAACGGAAGTGTTTTTAAAGTACATGTAAATATTTACGAAAATCTACGAATTCTGTAGGTGTATCTTTATTGTTTTAATTTCTAACAATATGGGACATATTTTTCATTCGTAATTCATAATTTTTAAATAAAAAAATTTTAAAAATTTCGAACAAAAAATGCAATTTTGAACATACGTTATGCAAAGAAAGTAATCCAAAATTCTCAAATTCGTTACGTTTTATCGAAGTCTAAAATTTATATTTTTTAATATCGCATATTTTCTAAACTACTTATCCGATTTTATTATAAAATTTTATGGTTACACCGTGATACAATTTATTTATTATTTTTTAATTGGAATTGAACGAGACCATATACATATGATACTAGAGGTCATTTAAAGTGAAACTGCGATTTCAGTTTATAATTTTCAGATCTTTTCTTGTTTCTTTTTAAAAGACTTTAAAGTTTTAAGGACATACAAATTTATTAAAATATATTTATTGAATAGTTTCAGTGAATATGGGTATTAAATGAAAGAGGATAATCTTCGGAAATCAAATATATTTATAACCTACACCACTATTGTGGGGAGGGTATTATGGTAATATTGGCCCTAGTACACCAATCGGCTCAGAATCATTCATGTAAACCTTGTGCGCACTCTAGATGAATTCGATTTTCGTAAAAATCTGGCATTATTTGAAGGCCCCATACTAAGTCCCCTTCAGAAAATGACTTGATTGTCCACAATTCACTTATAAACACAAGTATCACGATGAAATTTTGCACGAATAAGTTTTATATAAACATAAATCCCGACAATAAATTCTATAAGGATCGGACCAAGTTTTGCCCTAGCTCCCATATAACCGTACTTCCAATTTGAGCCTTTTAGCTCATAACTACGTCAAATATACAAATATTGGCATAACTAAGTTTGATATAATCTTAATAACACTTTCAATTTTAGTAATTATCGGGCCTCATTTGACCCTAGCACCCATACAATGTTCGCTTCAGAATATGAATTGAATGTCCACAATTCACTTATAAACACTAGTATCGATTAAATTTGGCATAAGTTATAAACATAAATCCCGACAATAAATTGTATAAGGATCGGATCAATTTCTACCATAGCCTCCATACAACCGGACCTACCGATACTACTATCTTTCGAAAAATTTGCAATATTAAGTTTGGTATAATTATAAATAACACTGGCGATTTTCAAAAGTTATAAACACAAAGTCCTCTTCAGAAAATGACTGGAATGTCCACAATTCACTTATAAACACAAGTATCACGATGAAATTTTGCACGAATAAGTTTTATATAAACATAAATCCCGACAATAAATTCTATAAGGATCGGACCAAGTTTTGCCCTAGCTCCCATATAACCGTACTTCCAATTTGAGCCCTTTAACTTATAACTACGTCAAATATACAAATATTGGCATAACTAAGTTTGATATAATCTTAATAACACTATCAATTTTAGTAATTATCGGGCCTCATTTGACCCTAGCACCCATACAAAGTCCGCTTCAGAATATGAATTGAATGTCCACAATTCACTTATAAACACTAGTATCGATTAAATTTGGCATAAGTTATAAACATAAATCCCGACAATAAATTTTATAAGGATCGGATCAATTTCTACCATAGCCTCCATACAACCGGACCTACCGATACTACTATCTTTCGAAAAATTTGCAATATTAAGTTTGATATAATTATAAATAACACTGGCGATTTTCGCAATGATCAGGCCTCATTTGACCCTAGCCCCCATACAAAGTCCCCTTCGAAAATCTATCTAAAAATCTCACTATGTGCTGATGTTTGTAATCCCAAAAATATGTATTTGTCCTTAAGTATACCAGTCGGTTCGCAGTCAATTTCTGATTCAATTACGCTATGTCCATCGTTGTGTTCATGTAAATATACTTGTATCTCATCAAAAAGTCGAACAACTTAATTACCTTGCTGAATTTCATAATAATCGGGCCTTATATAATAGTTATCTCTCATATAAATCCAATCACCAAATTTTATGGCTTACTTGTAACCAATGTAAAATGCAACATAAAGCTTTATTATTGAAAATATTATTTGATATTCGTAATTGGTATTGGGTATCATATGGTAGCCATGCAAAAATGATTGAAAATACCAAAATTTTACAAAAATCCCCAAATCTCTCCCCAAGTAAAACTTTAAATCCCCAATTTGGAGACAATCCCCACATCTGGCGATACTGGTATTTAAGATAAAATACCCAATATGAAAAACCTTTGAAATGATGTAAATATTAGGGTGATCGATTATTCGACATTTTCCAAAAACCGGTTTTCGAATAGTTCGAATAGTTGACATTTAAAAAAAACCGGTTGATATTTTCCAAATTCAGAAAAAACCGGTTAACCGGTTTTTCATTATAAATAAAAAAAATATATTTTAATTTAAAAAACTTAATGTTTATGTTTAAATTTGATTAACAAAACATGCCCCGAAATGATTTTTAACAGTTTAAAAGATTATAACTTTAGATCTAGTCTTCTGATTTACATTATTTCTTTAATATAAAAAAAATAGGAAAAAAGTGGGACACATCTGTTAAACATAAGGTACTATGTAATTCTAGCTTATTTTAAAAGCCCTGTTTAGGAAATTTGCATAGGTATTCCAACACTTCCATAAAATTTCAGCCGTAAATTAATTATTGTAATTGGAATATAATCTTAAGATTGATAAAATTTTATCAAACATTTATCAATTTTACAAATAAATTTTTTTAATTAATTAGGAAAATCAAAGAAGTTTAACCAAAGGAGCTGTAGAAAAATATACGCTAGTTCCTCGACTCGAATATTTTTAAAATTTAGACGGGCTGTATTATTTACTTAAAAATTTCATTTAAATAATCTTTGAATACAAAGCAAATAAAAGTATTCGAAACCGGTTTTTAAAAAGTGAAAAAACCGGGTTATTCGATATTCGAAAAATCAACATTAAGAAAAAACCGACACTGGTAAAGCAGAAAAAACCGGTTTTAAAACCGGTTGAAAAATCGAGTCGATCACCCTAGTAAATATACATATATTTGAAAACATATTTAAATATGTATCATACATAGCCTTTAAGAACAAATTTGAAAATTTTTGTTTTCAAATGGAAAATTCGTGCCATCTCAAACAAAAAGGCAGTTAGAAATCAAACCTATTTATACCCTACACCACTTTAGTGAATATACCAATAGGCTTCGTTTCGTTTTCTGAGTAAGATTATTTTCAAGATAATTGGATGAAATTTGGCACACACGCTTTTTTTGGCCCAAGGATTAAGCCTATTGAAAATAGTTAAAATCGGTCCATTATTTCACCTAGCCCCCATACAACATAACACCCCGAAAAGGGCTTCTGAGGTCATAATTATGTTAAATATACCTGTATATGGATGAAATTTGGCACATACGCTTTTTTTGGCCCAAAGACGAAGCCTATTGAAAATAGTTAAAATCGGTCCATTATTTCACCTAGCCCCCATACAACATAACACCCCGAAAAAGGCTTCTGAGGTCATAATTATGTTAAATATACCTGTATATCGATAAAAAGCGGCACAACTAAGTTTTATGCAAGTCTTGATGACCTTGCCAAATTTCATTAAGATCGGGCCTCATTTGACCCTAGCTCCCATACAAAGTCCCCTTCAAAAAATTACTTGAATGCCCAAAATTAACTTATAAACACAAATATCGCGATGAAATTCGGCACAAATAAATATTATATAAATATAAATACATTCACAAAACTTAATCGGGCTTGGTCCATATTTGCCCATATAAAGCCTCTTTCAGAAAATTAGATTTTCATTCATAAATTGCTTAAATGTATCGGAACAAGGTAATATTGAAGATAAATGCTTTATTATGAAAAATAAATCACATTTAATATTCATAACTGGTGTAGGGTATCATATGGTCGGTCACGCTTGACTATATTTTCTTACATGTTTTCAAATGTATTTCAAATAAGGCTAGAGATAAGCTTGAAACTGAAAAAAATTTCAAACGTATTTCAAGTATTCTTTATTCGTATTTTCCTGCATATTGCAAACTTCATATATTTTTTACATCACCTGAAAACAAGACATTCATTTTATCATATTCCTCAATTATATTTGCGATTATTTCTCCTATATTTAGCGTTTTTTCGCTCCCTTTTGTCTGTAGAAAAAAATGTTCACAGGTTTGAATCAATGTTTATTGGGTATAGTCAAAAACAATATCATTAATAAAATCAGAATATACCTGCGAAATTTGTATCAATTGATCCAAAAGTACCTGTCCTATGATATGTGAAAATAATATTATTAAAAAAAGTACAGGAGTGTGATAGGTTAAAACTAAAGAACTGCAATGATAACACAACAATTTGTTAAAAATATCGTTTGCGCCATCATAAGCACACGACATTTTTAACAAATTGTTGTTTTATTGCTGTCTTGTGCACGCCTTTAGTGAAAACTAGACCTTTTTCTAATTGGTTTAAAGGAACTGACACAAAACTAGTCCATGGTGATCCCTTCCCCGCAGGTATTGTTTATTCTTTGTATTTTTCGTTCGTCTTTGCGACCCATTTATGAATCGTTGATCTATGCGATATAAGGACATATGGACATCCTAAACATATTACGCAGGATTAAAATCATCTTACGGAAATAAATACAACTATTTAGTAACAAAAAATATTTTTCAAAATCGAAAAATATTCACCCACCATTTTCTCGCAAAATGGCATCGAATATTTAGTTCATATATTACGGACATTTTATATACATATATAATAAAAAAATATATGTACGTTTAAGGTTTAATTTCCATTTTTTCGATGTCATTAACGGTGCTAAATGATCGGAGGAATTTGTAATAACTTTTACAATTCTTTTTTTTACCGATTTTTTGTAGATCTCATTTCTACACTTCCGTAAAAATTTTAGCCCCAAATTTAAGGTATTCTTCCATTATTCCAATTGGAATTTAATCTTAAAAAACAAAATTTTATTACACAATTTCGTATGGTTATTCCAATTAATTTTACTTCTGCTGTTCAAAATACAAATAAAATGTGTGAATTAGTAAAATCCAAAAAATTTAACAAAAGCTCCTTTAGAAAAGTGTATTCTAGTCCCTGGACTCCAAAAAATTGAGCAATTTTAAATGTTATTAAATATAAAACACGGGAAATGTTTTATAAATGAAATCTGTAATCTTCAATGTATTCATTTAAGAAAATTATTGCAATAAAAAATTTACTATTACTTCCACCAATTTTGTTCAACTTTTTGCAACACTTTTGTCTCATTTCAACCCAACGTGCGCTGTTATAACGTCTCAAAGGTTTCCAAAAAGGGAATCTGGGTTTCGACTTTTTTAAAATTCTGTTAGTCTGTTTAATATTTCTTTTTTATTTAGATAAAATGCAAACAATTGAGATTTTCGAGGTAAAAACAAAATAAACTGTACTGCAATCTTTTTTTATTAATTTATTATGCGACAATATTACATGTTAAATATCGTTTATTTTTGTTTTTATTTTTTTAGACTCATCAAAATCGCAAATAGAATAAAATTTAAAGGCGGCCTGCTCTGAATTGAAGAACTATGGCCATGCAAGTTGGTCATAATATTAAAAATATTTTTGACGTCAATACTCAACTTATTCCGGCACAACGTTTACAAGACTTGTACGAAGATCACTATTGCAAATATTACGGTGAACGATAATATTTCCGACAGTCTATTCGATAGTGGATAGTTGTGGATAGTATGGTGAATATATTTATATTTTAATAGTGTAAATTCATAACGTATGTCTTCGAAAAGGTCATATACATATATAACATATCTGGAGATTAAACTTTAAGAATGGTCTAATAAAGTTGGTACGTATTGTATTGTCATTCATTGTAATATGTTAAGTAAACTTAACCCTCTTCCTATGTTAGATACATTTTTATCATGCGTTTGTAAAGGCAATGCCACACGTTTAATATACATATATCGTGGTAATTGCTGTATAGTATTGTATTGTACGTGTAGCATGTAATATTGATGGATCGTGTTCCATATCACAGAAAATCCCATTTTTCTGAAATCCAAAATTTCATATTGTATATTTATAACGGATTACGTGATAATATTGGACGTGTAGCATATATTGTGATCAATGATGCCAAGAGCTATTTTTCAGAAAACCCTAGGCTTATCAGAAAAATCCTTTTTTTCCCTACACCTACATTTTATTTTCCCTTCACTACTACTTTTTCCATTTTTTTACAAGATATATAATTTTTTTGTTGTTTTGGGATTTAATTTAATTTTTAAAATTTCCATTTTAAAATTTTATTTTTTTTACTATCAATTTTACATTATACATATAAGAATCTTAACATAAGATTGACAAAAAAACAATTGCAGTATCATGATACGTCGTTCGATCTAAAAAAATGTATTTTATGTGTTAATTACATTTATTACCACATAACTTGACTGCCCCTAAAAAATATTTTCATATAATTATTAATTAATATAATTAATAAAACCAACTTTTATAAATTATCAAAACTCGAAATTAAAAAAATATATGTATATTTCTACAGACAGGCGGACATCGCCAAATCGACTCCGCTATCTATAAGGAGTCATAATGTATCGCTCTATAAGACTAGCATAAACGAGAAAAGTTGTTTCGAAAAAAATGGCTTTGAATGTTTAATGATATTTTACTATTTTTAAATAACTTTTAAACAATTTTGTCAGGTTTACAGGAGAGCAAATTTTGTAATTTCGCGATTTACATTTGAAGTTATATGTTTCGTGCGAACTGATTTTGTTTCAAGTATTTAGGAATAAAAACTTTTGAAATTTGAAACTTTTATTACACATAACCATAGCTATAAAATAATGATTAATAATCGTAATGATTATTAATTAGATTAGTTTTATTAAAAAAGTAAAATTAATGATTAATTAACGATTATTTTCAATTTTTTAATTAATTATTGATTACGATTAAAAATAATCAGGGATTAATTGAAATTAATGAAAATAATCAAAATTAATAAAAAAATTAGTTGATTATTTTCAAAGATTAATTTTGATTATTTTCCATATATTTAGTATAATTTCCTCAAAAAAAAAACTAAGAAAAAATTTATTATTTTTCCCGTAAACAGCTAAAAATTTCTGATTTTTTGAGACCCATTTCGAAAAGATTGCATTAATTTTTTTCTAACATGTTGCACTGAGATCAAGATTTTCAATCGAAATAAACTTGATAAATTTGTTGTTTTCAATAAAACAGTCATATAATTGAATAGTGTCATAACTTGAAAAATAGTTTTCCATTACACTTAATGTAAAAAGGTAGGAAATTATACTAAATATATTAAAAATAATCAAAATTAATCCTTGAAAATAATCAAATTAATTATTTGATTATTTCTGATAATTTTTATTAATTTAAATTAATCCCTGATTATTTTTAGATTAATTTCAGTCGTAATCAATTAATAATCAGACATTTTATACCAGAGAATTAAATAATCATTACGATTATTTTTGATAAATATTTTAATTGAATATTAATTGTAATCGAAATTTTACAGCTATGCACATAACTAATTCTGTTCGTAAAACTTGTACTTTATATGATCAAATGATAATTTCTAAACAAATAAAGATATCTTCACAGAATTTGGTGGGTAAATGTATGACTAATAGGTTTTTGACGGTTTTTTTTTCGTAAAATAATAATCCCAATAATCACATTAGAAAGGATTTATTGGAATATACTTATCAATTCGGATTCAAATATTATATTATATATTAATATTTTTTGTTTCTACACTATCACATTTAAAATCAAGTAAAGCTTCAATATAAAGAAAAAGCTTAAATTTTCTGATTAAATTGTACTTTGTTTCAGTTTTAATTTTTTTGTGGGTTTACACAAAAATAAAAAATCGAATCGTTGTAAAAATAAAAAAATAAATATCACACTATTAATTTTCCATCCGTATCCATTAGAAAGTTTCATTACATATTATATCTACACTACTTTTTCATTTTATTTTAAACTTTGATATATCGTTATACCCTACAGCACCTAGATTACATACTCTTCTCTTGATTCAAGGAAGAAGCCTATTGAAAATGGTTGAAACCGGTCCATTATTTCAATCGGACCCCATAGGACCCCCTCAAAAAATAATATCTTCTCTTTGGGTCAACGGTAGTTTCAACTCTGAAAGCAATCTCAATCAGTTTGCAACACACTTCTTGCGTTATGAACGTCCATACTTCATGGCAGCTCTCCCGGAGGTATGTTGTGTTTTTACATCGGTGTTCGTAATTGTAAACCCTATTTTACCATAAATTCTCAATAGGGTTTAACTCTGGCGACTGTAGGGGCCAACGTAGCAATGAAATTTTAACTAGAGATTTAACCCAGCAAAAAATAATTGATGTCATACTTTACAAACTACATCTTAAAATAAACCCAATATTTCCTTACAAATGAAACCCCAGTTAAAAGTGAGGAAAGAGATGTGGAAAAGTCAATACAAATAACCTATTTGAAGTACATCAAGATTTGGTGAAAGAGTAGTGAAATTTACATAAGCGTGTCATTAAGAGAATGTGTTTTATTTTTGACATCCAAATATCGGATTTTTACTGCTTCTTAAAATAGATTAGATGTAGTTCAAAGTTGCCAAAAACGAACAACATCCCTCCAATGACACGCTAATGTAAAATTCATAGGTTTTTCACCTGAATTTGAAGCACTTCGGGTTACTAGTTGTGATGAAAATACTACATCTTTTTCCACACTTTTTTTGCTGGGAAGCCCTATATTTGGGGCCATTATCTAGTTGCATCACAGTATTTTCAATGTTTTGACCCCAATCATTAAAAATATTCCAATAAAATGGCTTCATAATATCAGTCGAGATTTCAACATTTGTCTTACCTTTGATTTTATACATTTTCCGTACGCCTTCTGATGGGTATAGAACAGTTATTGCGAATTCCACCTTAAGCTATACCAGTATTGTCAACCGTTTCCTTTCCTTCTTTCTATTCTATATGGTTTGCTTTGTGGTTATAGCTACCTAAAGTAAAATCCCCTGTAGCTGATTCTAAACGTTTTCTTGTATGTTTATTTGGGAACACAGCACACCCCCCAACGACGAGCACAGCCGAATTAATAGGTAGCATTGTTCCCATCGTAATACCCCTACTCTAAGAATCGTTACAGAAATTTCCATCTCCAAATTTCATAATAAGTATTATGTTGCGGTCTTTTAATGAAATGCTAAAATGTTTGCACAACAAAATGTTAATTTTTAATAAAAATTTTACTTTAGTACTACGCGCCAAATTTGTGTAAGCCCCGTTAACTCCACCTCCTGTTATCGTTTATCCTGTAGATGCATTGTATATATGGGGAATTTCATGTCAAGTAACCCAACTCAAAAAATCGATTTTGACGAAATTTGTACTAAGGTTAGTACTATTGGATAGTAGGTTAGACATATTCAGCTCTATGGGTGAAGAACTGTCGGACTTAGAGCGGGTCAAAGTTGGACATTTTGGTCATACAGGGTTTTATTTAAATGAGTGTAACTTTTCACCTACTGGTCCTAGCAAAAGTTTTCCAAAGGAGTTCAGATAGCTATTTCTTCATTCTTTCAAAAAAAAAAAAAAAAAAAAAAAAATTTAATTACAAATTTTTTTAATTTTTTTTTAAAATGTTTTTTTTTTTTGCTTAAAAGAAAGCTTATACAATTTCCTTGAAGGGCTTCATAGTCCCATAATGGGATGTGAGTGGGAGTTTTATCAAAAAAAAAAAAATATATTTTTTAACTCAAGAATACAATTTTTTCAATATTTGGCTTTTAATTTTCCCCTATTTTTCAAAAATGGAATTTTTTGTTGTATTTTTTTTTTTTGCAAATATTGAAATAAATTTATTTTTGAGTTAGAAACAAGAAGTTGTATTCTAATAAATAATTGTTATTTTTTATTTTTGCATTTACTTTTAGTGTTTACACCTCTAAGTAACCAGAGTATTTTAATAAGCAAAAAACCTAATACACGTCCATAACATTCCATCTAATCTACAACGAATACTATTTGACTGCACTTAATGGTACCGCTTCAATTCATCTATTATAAAAATGGCATCATCTACGTTAAAGCAAAACTATAAAGTTCCATCTACTAGCAAAGTTTCAGTAGATAAACTTCTACGAGTGGGATGCTACGATTTAGAGAAAACTATTGGCAAAGGTAACTTTGCAGTTGTCAAATTAGCATCAAATATCATAACCAAAACTAAGGTAAGTTTAAAAGTCATATTTAAATTTATTACATACTCTGTTCATATTTGCGAAAAATTATGTTTTTTTCATGCGAAAAATTGTATGTGCAACAAATGTAGTCTATCTCGCGATTTTGGAAAGTTTTATTGCTTGAAAGTATGCATCATTACTTTAAACGCGTTAACAAAAACCACATGTTTTTTGAAAGCTGAAAATGAAATAAAAATTCAATAACAAATTTTAATAAAAGAAACTTTTCTGTGATTTTGTAATTTTTTCGGCTCGACAAATAATAATTTTTGGAAAACAAATGAACTATTTGTTTTAATTTCGTGTGAAAGAAGTGCTGTGTATGCGGGCTTTACACTATTAGACTTTTATTTTTTTTTTTAAATTTGAAAACGATTACATTTTTTCGTTTTATCAGATTTTTATTTTTATTTCAACAAAGAAAAAAATAAAAATATAAACAAAATCCAATTTGAAATTAAAGTTTTATGTTTTTTCTTTGATTTTTTTCGAATTGAAGTTATATGTTTTTTTAAATGAGTAACCTGACCGCTTTTTAAAGGTTGATCCCGACTTAGATTTCAATCCCGCTTCTTAATAAAAAAATCCAGTTTTTTGCATAACAGGTACCACCCAGATTGTGGGAATTTAAGTTTCGACTTATTCGAATATAACACTTTTACTTGTTTTGATATTAAATTTTATTAAATCCCGATTTAATGAATGGCCATTTTCAAAATCCCGCTTTTTAATCACTCGGATCCCGCTTTTGTTCAAAAACCATCTGGTCACGTTAGGTATGAGTGGAGTTCGTCGACAAAAACAGCCACCACTGATTCACCTTTAACAAAGGCTCTAGGAATCATTACAGACTAGTGCAAAGTATTCGTTCAAATAATTTGAGCAGTACTGTAGCCAGAGCAATCGAACGATACGAACACGCCTTGTTGAGATTGTCACCCTTCTTCCCAAGAGGAATAGTCCTAAAATGGAACGTCTCCAATGTAATAATAGCATTGAATTCACTTAAAATACTAAGTATATTAGCTGTATTAAATAGCCGAATGTGTGAATTACGAATACCATTTAAACCTGGCGCAGTGTCCCTTAACGCAGATATCGTCCTATTCAACTCAGTAAAGGAAAATGGTCATGAGAAAATGGCGCAGGTTGGGTAAATGGAATGGGACCCATCAGCCCTGAAAGATTTTCACAAAGTTGTTGGATATAGTACCTAAAACCAGACGTTGTGTCGTTATAATTACCCTTAAAGAATCGCACCTTTCTTCACAGGTCCACTACAGAGATAAGACCATTTAGGGTAGCATAAAAATCTCGCCAACCTTTTATTTTCTCAGACCGGAATGTATACTTGTAAAATTTTCTAGTATTAGACAAATAAAAAAGTTTTCGCGAGATGGATCAACTGAATATTTAGTAACGGACAATCTCAGTATTTCACTCGCCTCGTTGCATTTTGAGTTTCACCACGGATTCGGTGATCATGATATCAGTCTAACCTAATACCAAACGTGCTGGCAAATTTAAGAGAGAAAATGTCAAAAAATTACCCAGCCGTAAAGTCAAAGCGACAATTGGCAACCATGATATCAGATAATTTCCTGTTTAAAAAACATTTGTCAATCAATTTCTTGTTTTTTCAATCATTTCAAAAAATAAAGAGAGCCATACGACTGTAAAATTGTTCAGTCGTATTCTCTCTCATGTTTGACAGATCATATTACTTGTGGTATAATGTAAAAGGGGTTTTTTGTTATTTCGTAAGTAGTAAAACGAGGTTGCCAGCAAAGTATATTAATAAAGTAGCATCACTAGAACAGCTATTTTTTAAACTAGGTATTAATACCAAGTCGGCAAAGATTATTTTGAAAATTGTCAACATTGTTTATGTCGTCATTTTTAAATTCTGTTTTGCTATTTGTAAAAATTTGTGAAAAGTTAAAAAGTGAATTAAAAGTTGTTTTAAAGTGATTTATAAGTGCTATAAATTATATAACCCATCAAAAACTTGGTAGTGGGTTGTACTTCTATAACTACTTACTTTTCAATGACTACTACCTATCGTATGCATTACTTAGAAGTACTCTGGTAATGACTTTCTTATAATCTGATATCGAAGTACTTTATTTTCGGCTTTGTTACTTTGTTTGCACATTTTATTTGATTGCTACTTAATAATTGTGTTTTACAAAAAAGAAGGCTTGAAATGCTAATGAAGAAGTAGTGAAAAGAGGTTTTATTAGCTTTTTAACTCATTACTTTTCAATGTAAGTAAAATAATTATATCCCTAATTTCTTAAATTTAAAAGTGCTGATGTTTGTAACGCATGGAATTAATGGTCCTATACCTACCTCTAAGTATACCAATCGGCTCAGAATCATTTCTGAGTCGATTAAGCCATGTCCGTCCGTCTGTCCATGTAAACCTTGTAAGCAAATTACAGGTCGCAATTTTGAAGATAATTGGATGAAATTTGGTACGCGCATTACTTTTGAACTAGCCCCCATATAACCGGACCCCCTAAATTGGAATTGGAGCTCATTATTATGCCAACTATACTAATATCCCTACAAAAATAGGCACAACTACGTTTTATACAAGCATAAATAATACTGCAAAATTTCGCAATGAGCGGCCTTTATTTAACCCTAGCCCCCTTGCAAAGTTCCCCTCTAAAAATGCTTGAACATCGTTAATTCACTCATAAACACGTGTATTTCAATGAAATTCGGCATAATTAACTTTAATGTCAACAAGAATCCCTCCACCAAATTTTGTTAGGATCAATTCAGTTAGGAAAATCATTTTTTCATCAAAAATATATCGAAATTAAGGAAAAATTAAACGTAAATGCTTTACTATTAAAATTAATACACATTTTAGATATACACTTCAATGGTGTAGATTATCATATGGTCGGTCACGCCCGACTATACTTTTTTACTTGTTTTATTTATCTTTTCTTCACTCTGTTGAAAGAAATTATTGTTCAATTTTATAAACAAAAACCTTGTGAGTTTGGCACAATCGTAACTAATTTAAAAAACAAAATGCATGTGGTTTTTGTAGATGTTGTTGTACAACAAAAGATGTCGCTACTTTCTGAAGATACTTTGGTTGCTTTTCACAATGCTTTTCACAACAAGAACAGAGTACGTACCAAATATTTTATATGTAGTTTGACAGCATTTCGCACGAAACTTTGAAGTTTAAGGGAATCAGGCCATCTTTCTGCTTTACCTTCGAGAGTTTTACGTTTCAAACCGCATTAGGGTTTTTTTTTGAAGTGCATGTTCACCATATGCAATCGGGTTAACTTAACCTAAGTTTTTAATTTTGATTATGGTGGAGAACCAAATAAAACTCAAATTTGTATTCTACCCAGCCGTACTGGAAAAATTAGATTTGGCGTTGTGAATACTCGATTCGTGCCAAGTTAAGTCTTAGGAGTTGCTAAGAAAACTTAAAATATAAACAAACAAATTGTAGTCAATTACCCTTAAAACCCCGCACAGTGTCAGATTTTACCATTTTAGGGGAAACTATTAAAGGTAAAGCTAAACGTCGATAGTCTATATTTGGTGAAGGAAAAAAGAAAATGGAAGATTCCAGGGACTCAAGGACATTTTTTAATATCATTATCCTTATTTTAAAACTATGTATATCATATATCATTTTGAAAACGTATTGTTTTTAATATTAAAGGGGAATACTAAATTTTAGAGTGCAAAATAATCTATAATGTAGTAAAATTCCAAACCCTGTAGTAATGTTGAAAAATTAAGATATGGTCCACCAACACATATGGTCTATCAATGCATGTATGAAATTGTGGAATGGAAAATGGTATTGAAAAAATTTATATATATGAACAATAAATCCGACCATGAATTTTCATGATTTGGAAAACAAAATAACAAAATCATCAACCGAAAACTGCATTTAATAATGTAAGATTTTTTATTTTCTTTTAATACACAAAAATTACCTAAAAGTAAAATCGTTTGTAGAATTAGTGGTAGTTAGACGAAAAGTATTGTTCGTGTTTTGATATTTAACACCAACTAAAGGGCTAATTAAAACCTGGAGTAAACCCTATTGCTCTAAAGTTGGAAGTACACAACACGAGTTGAGGCGGCACCACGATTTACGATTTTCAAACTTTTCGCGCTTTACAAGTTGCAAATTATACACTACGGGTCATTTTGATCTTTCTCTTAATGTTTTTTAAGACTATTACTGTTTTAAAAAACCAAATTTTAAGATTTTGTTTATTTTTTAATCTTTTCTTTCATTGTTAGTGAAATTTATTTAATTTTAATTTATTCTTATTCTACACAAAACAAAATACAACCCTGATCAGCTGCCGACGCGTCAAATGTTGAAAGTTGCTGAACTTTTCGCGGCAGACGCGTTACAAACTACAGTGTGCAACTTGTTAAATAAAAAAAAAAAACACTATTTGAACTATTTTGAGAAAAGCCTATAATGCGTTGCCACATTATAGACTTCTGTGTGTTCGACTGTCGGAAATGACCATATACATACATATTATGTACAATATTTTTATGCTCCTCTTATTAAAAATAAAAATATTGGAATTGTTAACGCTATGTACATTCATACATACATATGTATTAATGAATATTTTATTTTAATCTGACAATTAATGTTCACAAATTTTTTGTAAAAGTGACAATTCGTTAAAATTTTTTAATTTTAAAGTTTCGATGTCTGAATTTATACAAGAAATTTGGTTCCGTAAATCCGCTACAGAAAATTTGGATAAGATTTCCGGTTGCATATTTTCATTAATATTCTTTATTTTTAAATATATGCCATTAGCAGTTGCACGAGATTGTTGAAGATACGCATTTAATTCCCCCGCCAGTTGTATTCGCAATTGCTGGATTTCATTGGCTGTCGAATCATGTTGATTTAATAGAGTTGTTGATGAACTCGCTATATTGTCCGTTATATTTACTTT